TAATCATCAGTTACAACAATAACGGATGACCAAAAAGCTTGGCTATGCATGCTAATTATTTACTATGTGCCGATGCGAAGGCAGGCAGCCAAACGCACGTCCATGCCTCCCGGAAGCATAGTGGGAGAGAGAGAGGGAGGGAGAGAGGATAATTCAGTGCTTTTAGCCCAGGACATCAGGAGACAGCTCCTCCCGCCTTGCTGCTCAGCTACGGTGTGATCTCTCACTACACCTTTTCCCCTCTCCCAGAACAACACCAGTGTCACTATGGTCGCTGAGTGCCAGGTTTGAAAGCGTTTCAAGTGACTAAACATTTGGAAAGATGCCCAGTGGGACTTTCAAACCTGCACAGACATCAACAAAATTCCACAAGCAGTTATCTGTATCTGTTGGGGTCTCAAAATCTTTTAATCCTGGCCCTTCGTCTCAACGTGCCTCAGGTTTTGACATCTGCAGATGAATAACTCCTCATGAGCAAGCAGTGATTCTACTGAAAAATGACTGCATAGGCACCAAGTCATGAGAGGCATCTAATTGATGTTTAGCTGCAGCAAATACCAATACAGCGCTTCTGGCTGTATCACACTGTGATACATGTGAAGCTGCAGACACTAAAATAAAAAGAGAACAATCTACTGCCCATTTAAGTGGCAGCTGCTCTGGATGACTGCGGTGCTGCCCAGCAAATTACTGAGCAGGCAGAGGCGCAATTCCCTGGACTGCGTGTTAATCACCTGCATCCAGAGGGTGAGCACAGAGAGACCCCGCAGTAATGCGGCGTGGGAGCACAGGCTTTAGTCTGTGGTATGATAAATCTCCCTGCCTACAGTCTGACACTGTTTCTTCACCAAAGTTATACCCAACTTTAATAGTGAGAACTGTAAGAGAAGGAAAACCAGAGCAGGCAAAACCAAAATGAGAAAGCCAGGTCATGGCTGAAGTGATTTTGACATAGTTTTCCAAGTATAAAAGGCCCACTAAAACGGACCCTACTTAGTTAACAGAGGGCATAAATAGAATAGCAGAGGCCATCTGACAAAGCATAAAAGCGTGAGAAGTGCCAACCACGTAACCGCATCAGATGTTAACGATGATCAAACCTTGCACAGCAGATTCTGGAGAAGTCAATGCCTTCCCCCAGCATATGCCCGCGCTCGGTTTTGGAGTGCAGTCTTCTCTTCTGAGATACTAAGCTCAAAATTCAGCCGTAATTGCAGTCATGTTTAAAAGCTGGTAATGTGTCAATGACTGGTTTCTTGTGCGTCCTACAGATTTGTTCAAGGTCCTTATAAGAACATTTCAGTTCTGGTGACCTTTCAGAGGCAACACTCACAACCTTAAAATTTGATCAGGATGTTTGTGATTCGTCAGTATGCCTGGTTTACACAGAAAGCAAATCCTTTTTACATAAAGAATCATCTTTAGCAAAGACAGGAGATAATATCTGAATAAAACTCTCTGAGATTTAAAAATACAGCTACTTATTTCAAAGCTGAAGTACAAAATCCCTTTTTCTCCCAGATGGTAACAACTCTGACGGGGATAGTCCAGTGCTATCAGCTAGCAGGTCCGTCACTGAAATAGCCAATACAGCCATTTTATAGGCTTGCACTGAACTCAACAGAACTTCCTTGTGCATAAAACTACTTCTCTGTCTATTTGTGTGTGTGTGTGTTGGGGCGAAAAAGACAGAGAGTGCTTTCCAACCTTGGCCTAACTAATAACTAACTCCAGCCACCTCACAGTGAAGACAAGGTTCTCCAGCTTTACCCAAACATGAACTCAATGCATTTGACTTATTTCTGTTTTCTTGGGGTGGGGGGTGAGACTCCCTGAGTTTACTTCACTGGACCATCAAAGAGTCCTGGCTTGGCCATGAGTTTTTACCTTAAATCCAGAAGCTAAGCCCCACATGAATTTATCCAGGGGCTGGGACCAATTTCCCAATACTTGTGATAATCAGCACAGCTGCACAGAGTAAGAAGCTGATAAATTCGGTGCTAAAGTATGGCCACCAATCTGCAGAAGGGACAGGAGTAACACTCTAAATGGAGGGTAAATCACCACAAAACCACCAGTGGTTTATGAAGTCTGGATTCTCAGTAAAAAGCTGTTTTCAGATTAGTGCAACTGTTTGATTGTGCCTGGCAATACTAGTTTATGGATGGCAGAGGTCACTGAAATCTCAAGGGTAAAAACACTGAGCAATTTACTGCTCACAACACTTTTCCATTGCAGTGCCTTTAACAAGAACATCAAAACCAGATAAGTCTCAGTGCACTGTAAATCTGATGCCAGTTTACTGGGAATATCCCAAACTGAGTGTTAAAGCAAAATCTTTAGTCTTCCAGGAATCACAGATAACTTGAAAACCAATGGCAACTATGAACAAAACCAGCACCCAGAACATTAAAACAGTACACAACATTCAGTCAAAGAAATCCCCAGCCTGTTCTCCTGGGGACATGTTGCATCTTTTGCTACAATTGATTTTTTTCTCTTTTATTAAAGGACGCTGATATAAAACCCAGCGGCACACAAAAATAAACACAGACAGTTGATAAAAACAAGGAGCAGGGCCTTGTGCCTGCCACTACACCACTCAGTCGGTATGCACACTAATTAATCAAATGCTTTTCCCCTTAATATTTCCACATAGCATGGTATCACTTTAATATTTAGGAACTCACCCACCTTTACTAGACCCGTAGCCCACCCAATTACAGCCATTGCTTATGATGTGGGCCAGTGACATATCAAGGGATGTTCGTGAGACAGACTGTAGGGTAGCAGACTAGAGGGTGAACTAGCCTGTTGTTCCTGGTCTTCAAGCTAGTTTACATACTTTTGTGCTGGAAAAAGCAAGGAACGGGTGAGGGTAGCCCTTTCTGTGACAGAACTGGTCAGGGACTGTACGAAGGACCATCCTCAGTCAGCTCTTTTACATTCTCAGCAGGGATCAGACCAGCCACCGAGATACTGGTAGCATCATCTGTCTCCGATCAACAGTAAAATAAATTATGGTTATCACACACTTAGATTCCCATGGGCTCTCTGTTGGTATCCACAAGGGAGCATGTGATTTCAGATTACTCAATTTAGAGTCTGCTACTGCCTGTAGCAAATTTCCCTGGTAAAATCAAGGACAGGTAAAGAAGGAAAAGTCATATTTCCCAAAGGACAGTGGCATAAAATTGCAACTCCCGTGCCTTCTGATCTGAGGTCTACTTTGCTAGTAGTGGTGAATCTCTGCCAAAACAATAGGCTTTTAGATTAGATTAATCCTAGAATATATATGACAAAGGCTTACTTAATCTAAACATACCCAAGTATTCCTATTAAGTTCACAGCCAGCCCATCTGATTTTACAGGCCTTAAAATCCTTCATATAATTGAATCAAACTTGCTCCTGGTGTTTTATAATTTGAATGGTTCACGTTTTGGTTTACATGAAAGTTGCTGCTATGTAAACAACCACTCCAGAAGATGATCTCTGGGGTTTAGGTCAACCTCAGGGACAACTCTGTTGCAGTGACATCTGTGGCTACAGTGACAAAGCCTTGTTGTCTGTTTTTCTCCTCCTTGTGTTCCCCAAATTTCTATGCCCCATTATGTCTTGATACAGCAGAAAGGTTCTAGCTCTTTCCATATTTAGTACCACCAGTTAACATCCACATAATTTGCTGCCCAATGTGGTAGCATGGATCAGGCCCTGTCTTGCAGAAGTTACTACTCAGTGCAGTGCTCCTCCTCAGTGGTTCTCACTGAGAATCCTGAAACGTAAAAGGATGAAGGAGACAGAGAAAGACTAAACAGGCTAAGCTGTGTGTAAGGGATCTTAGTTGATCATGCTTTAAAAATAAACAAGTAGGTTTTTCTGTTGCCTAAATGGCACCCATTCTGTTGCCTTGTAGACAGCCTAGCATATTGTTTTCATAATCAAGTTATTTGGATGACACAACAGCAATTTAGATTAGGATTTGTTTACACAGCTAAATATGTTGAGTAATGAAATTGAAATGAGCTTTCTGCTTCTGTCACATCTGCAATAGTAACTCGCTTCTTACGGTGGAGTACAAGCTCACTGCACAGATGTTTCTTGATAAGGTATAAATCAGCGTTAGACGCTGTTTATTGCAGTGCTTTTACTGCCTTCTTCCCTGAAGGAGGGAATGTTCCCTGCACAGCAACCAGATGTGACCTGCAAGACTGCATGAAATACCACTGCAAGTAAAAACAGGTCCCATATTCCATATCAGCATCTGCAATAGCTCATCAAGTATTTATCAGACCATTTGAACACTTCTGCAGAACCTAGCATCATACCACTACCAAAATTTACTTAATTATAACCTGCAATGAAAAAGTCAAGCAACCCATAAAGTGACTACTGTCTGGAGGAGATCCCATTTCAGTTTGGTTTCATTCCTTAATCATCAAGTTTCTGAGCAGACACTGACCCTAAAAATAAGATAAGGGAGCTCCTCACCTGGGGAAGGCGCACAGCTCTGAGTGCCTCGGTAAGTGCCTCCACTCAGCTCTGTGGGAACAGGGACATGCAACAGGAAAGACTCACCAAAGGCCTAGCATTTGAAGAGACTCAAATCCAAACCCAGAGCCACACTCTCTCCTCCTTCTCTGTAGCAGATGAAAGCAATACCCAGGGTCTCTGAAGGTACGAGAGCCAAACTTTGCAAGGTGCACCTCTTTGAAGGTTTCTTGAAGCAAAACCTGCCATTCCTTATTAAGAAAGAGGGAGGGGTGGAAGGATAAAATAGTTTTTCTTCCCTGAGCTAAGCTGAGTCTCTGTTTTGCTTCACTCGTTACACGGACAGAAGATCCTGTCAACCCAGAAATAATGCCAAGTATTTACAGTTTAATGGAACCCAGGGACCAATTAACAACACAGAAAACCACCAGACAGTGTATTCCTTATTGTAGCAGGAGGGAAATCTTACATTACTGTTGTTCCCCCCTTTCTTAAAATAAAGCACCAGTGCTTTGTCAGTGATTTCTCAGTAGTAATGTTTATTATTTGGTAGTTTTACCATTGCTTATTTATCAATTGTTTTCCATGTGCTACATTCAGTCACAGAATCCCTCTTTACTTGTACTCCCCACCCCAAAAAGATAAAAAGAAATGGGGGGGGAGGGGGGGGGTGGGAAGAGAGAAAGCAACTGTCATTAGGGCTTCAGACCAACAATGCTAGAACCTGCCCTCAACCCCAAGTTCTCGAACTGCTGATTCTTCAATAGCTTGATGGATACGATGCACCTCGTTCTGCGTTAAAGTCCTCTCCGGGTGACGGTAAACAATACGGTAGCAATGGCTGACCTTCTTTGTCCTACAAAATATAAACAAAAAGAGGAACCATAAATACATGTGCCTACAAATGCAAATACTCGAGGCCGAACACTTACCCCCTGGAGCATTTTTTTATTTGCAGTCTAATTTTATTCCTGTTGCTTGAAAATCATCTTAATGCTAAAGTACACAGTCTGGAGAGGTGGGATTGAGCTGAATTTTAATTTTGGCAGTGGATTTTACTGAAGTCCACCTTACATTTCCACTTGTTTTTGCTCTGGGTCCTTCTCTTCTCCCACCCTCTGCCAGATACTCATACTGAAAAAAAAACACACAACAAAAACAAAACAAAACAAAACAAAAACAAACAAACAAACAAAAAAAAACAACCAACCAACTTTGAGATAAACTGCTTGGCTTTCTACATTCAAATATGCTTCACAACAGGACACAGACCTCTTCTGGGTCACTGAGCCAGCTCTCCACTAGGAAGTTTAGATAGTTAAAAATAAAAGCAAAAGGGCTGCCTGTGTCACAGCCAAGACTGACAAAGAGCAAGGCTGAGCGGGAGCCGCCAGCCAGCCCTGTATGAGTTAACTTCAGCTGAGTACTGAGGTGTGTCAGCTTCTTACCAGGGTAAATAAGTCCAGGAGCAGGGCTATGCTAACATGACTGAACTCTGCTGACACTGTAACTCGCTCATTTTGGTGCTAACACGGCAGTCTCTAGGGAGCACTGTGCACACATATTCCCCTCAGGCCGGTGGGGCTGGCCATGACAGACTAAGGAAAACACTGCTCAATCTCCACGTGCTGGCAAGCTGTTAGCTAAAGCAGGGCATCTCAAGCCTTGATATCCAGCCTCCAGCACGGAGGAGGGGGCTCCAGACACAGCCGCAAACACAGAGTAAAACATTCATTTTGCAGCTGAGGTGATGTGGGACGTTGCCCTCCTGCTCCATGGACAAAATGGTGGATGCACCCTGGCATGAAGGGAAGAAGCCGGCCTCCCCAGCAGTTGCTGTGAGGTAGGGCAGCAGCCCTCACACAGCTGCTCAGGATGGCTTTCCTGTAAAAGTGGCCACAAAAGGGACTGCCAACACCACACACCACGAGGCTGGCCTAGCAAAGCAGGGGCAGCCCAGCAAACTCAGGAAGAAACAGGGCATGACATGCTAGCAGGCACAAATGTCAACATTTCTTACCCCTTGCTGTGGAACGGAAAAGGCAAAAGAGACCAGCAAAAAGAAAAGAGGGAATGATGGAAATTAAAAATTAAAATATATATATATATTTAACAGTTGCTGAGTTGGGCAAAGACAAGGTAATGCAAAACTAGGACAAACCAATAAGCTGAATAAGAAAGAAAAAGTCTGTGTGAAGAGAAAGAAAGGCATGTGACAGGCTTGCTGTCTTGCTCTCCATCAAAAATAGGCCAGAGTACGTAGATCCTGCACAAAAGGGATATCTCTATAATTGCAGTGCTTGTATTACTGCATTTACACGGCAGATGAGGCATCCTTTTTTTTTTTTTTTGGTTTCAAATGGAGCCCACACAGCTTCTACTTTCAAAGGTAACCACTGCAGTGAAAGAAGGAAAATCTAAGAGGGAAAAATAAAGGGAAACTGGAGATCAAGTACTAGATGGAAGGATCTCCCAGACTAGCAGAAGTTTGCATTTAATGGTGCACAGAGGCATTCGTCAAGCTTCAGATCATCTCTTTCCTGAAAATGTTTCAGGTCAGATATCATGTTTATTATGACTACTTGATTAAAACTAAAGTTATATGTGCTCATGTACAAAGATAAATCTCTCAAGATACTCATTTCAACATAGATCCTACAAGAAATAGGCACAGGTAGTTTTTATCTCAGAACAGCTATTTGATACCAACTTTGTCTCATTCAACTTTGGTGGGAAGCTTGCCCTGCTCTCACTGGCAGTTTACAACAAAAAGATTATTTCAAAATAAAGCATTTCTCCTTTTTGTGGGTGTGTTCTCTGAAGATGAAGCAAGTTAAATCTGGCTAGTACAAGAAAGGGCAAACTACATTTCATGAGATGTTAGCTGACTGCAGTTAACTGCTAAAAACCAGCCAAGAGCTTTCCCAAGGTGCAGGATAAACGCTGTAGAAAAGTGATCTTCAAAAAAAGAGGGGGAGGTGTAACTGCAGAGAAAGTGTTGCTCTGCTCTGCTCCACCACTGCAAAGCAGTTGAGAAGAGAGATCTGGGAGAAGCGTGGAAATTGGACAAGAGGGGTTTGGCCAGATGCTATACTGAAAGAGAGAAATTGGAGTAAGATTTGGGCTCAACAGAAAAAAAAAATATAAATCAAAACCAGGCTGGCAGACAACAGATCGTTGTACTTCAGCTTTTAAAGGTGTTACAGCAACCTACCTGAACAAAAACATTTCCAAATTGCTCCGGCTGAAAATCTCTTTAGAAGCTGTACAGTCACAAGCCCAATCCTGAACTCTTGTATATACAGAGAATATATCTCACGATGGAAAACTCAGTACTATCATTTAATGTGATGTCAACACAAGTTTGCTTACCATTTCTAAGCTGTGGTAGGGGTAACAACTACCACTGTTTCTTGACTGGTCACGGTTAACTGAAGGTAATGACTTCTCCTGTCCCATGTGTTTACATAACCCTCTCCACCCATCCTAGCGAGCAGTTCATTCATGGGCAAATTAAATAGGTCACAACATGATGCAATAGTTTCTTGTGGGTGTTGTGGAAAACAGCATCTTTAGGATGCATTTAAACTCCGAAAGGACAGAGGTCTTACAGAGCAACACTGAACTGGCGTTTGGTTAGATGTAACTGCAGTTAAGCATTGGACTGCATTACATGTAATTAATCTAATTGTAATTATAGCCAATGATATAAATGCTACTACATATGGCTGGCTACACATCACTCACATGGTTGATGTTATATTTTTCTCTCGTCCTTTTAGAGTAAAAGGGATTAATGTTATTTCCATAAAGACAAGCTGTAAGTCTCAGAAAACTTCAGCATTGCTTTCAGAGTAGTATTAACTGACTTTCCAAGGCAGATGGGGACAAGTACTTCTTGGTCTTTTACACCTCAATACCTACCCTGTCCCTCAAATGAAAATACTAGGACAATGAGATTTATCACTGCCATCAACTGTGATTGGAAACAATTTTTGTCAGCAAATAATACGTTTGCTGATTTCCTTTCTTGATATGCTTGTGTTCTGCAAGGATGCTCAGAGTCACAGAGTGTTTGCCTACCTTAAAGATAGCTCAGCTACTGCATAGTGGACTCTCTCCTGCTTGTCATGCTGCAGCCTGATGATACAGAAGAAGCAGCTCTCTAGCTCTCTATCCCAAGCAACAGAAAATGTGAGGCCAAAACCGAGAACAGCAGCTTCATCAGGTTAAAAAAAATAAAAAATAAAAAAATAAAAGAAGCAGCAGCTTAACGGTGAGTGTATTAGGCTTTATTTACCTAAGCTGCACCTCCAGACAATTCCACGCAGCTTGCAGTCACGCGGACTCCTTCTCTCCCATTAGGCTTTAGCTGATCTCAGTGTCACAAGTCTCCTCTGCACCAGCCTGCGGCTTTCAGGTAATGAAATGCAGTGAATACAGTGAAGCACTGCTCAAAGGGAAAAAGAAGATAGGGATGTATTCTGAGGCCACAGGAGGAAAGAGGATTACAGTCAGTGAATAAACACTGAGGTGAAACAATGTCTAACACCCTTTCATGTGTTTTTTTGGAGGAAACAGCTTTGCCTCGTGATATTAAGGAACTGGCACACAGCTTCCTCCATGTGCTAGAGAACTACTCACTGCCTGGTCAGATTCACTGCATGAGGCCACCCTGAAGGTCAGCGTATACGTTTTGATATTTCAGCCTGATAACTGAGCACAGCAAGAAATAAAGGGGCATCGGTCTTCCTGTTATCCTATAAAATGACCACGAAAGCAACCTGACACTGGATTCAGGGCTAGAATGAAAGGCTATGTTAGGCAATAAAAATTAATAACTGTGCATTATCTTCACCTGCACGGAAGTCCACTGAATGATGTTTTAAATACAATTTGTCTATAAAGCTGACCCCAGAAGGTACCAACAGCAACATATCTGCACACTGCCAATGGGCAACCTGCCTCAGTGGCTAGATAAAAGTAAGACATGGGGTCATTTGGTAGCCAAAATGTTACCTAAAGAATAAATGTCTGGTATAGGCTCACCTATGTGCAGTCCTGTAGCAAGAATTCCCCATCCTGCACTTGAAGAGGGAGATAAAGGGCATCAGGGAGTTGGAGGGGAAAGAAAAAGCACTGCACTTTTAAACTGTGTTCTACTTTATATCTGTCTTAAATCACAGAAGCACAGAGACTTCTGTATGGAGGTTAGCCCTGCTCTTAAATGGGTAAGGACAACAGAGAACCAGACATTTTTCTAGAAAGCTTACTTTGAGGAATAGAAAAGTAGAGATGAGAATCTCCCACAGCATCAAGGAGCAAAAATGAGTACTCTCTCTTTTGTTCTCTGAGCGAGGCACTAAGCAGTACTATTCAGTGCCATATCCATATTGTACCTTTTCCTACACAGTATTTTTTTGAAATGAAAGACCTATACTGTAACGCAAGCATTTAAGATTCTTTTCTCTGTGTTAACTGAGTTGTGTGAATGAGGTTCTTCGAGGCTCTCCCAATTCCTGCCACATCAGTTTTCATCCTATATCCCAAAGAAAGAGTCACCATATAATTACCTTACATAAACATTTACACGGTACTCAGTGACCACCTACATATTTCAGAGTGATCAGGTCACGCTCTGAGTATGCAGAGAATGGATGAGAAAGGCTTGCTTTCTTTGCAACACTGTCCTGTGAGTTATGATAATGTGCAGGAAATGAAAATACGCTCACGTTACTGGAACCATAGCTGCTGGAGTCATGCAGAGAGCACAGCTTTGGCCTTGCATTGTGGATCAAACAGTTCCAGAATGGTTCTTGTTGTAAGCTGAAATGGGGAGAAATACTAAACTGCAAG